GATGGATGAGGAGATAGATAAAGATAGATACAATGGATGGATGGATGGTTGAAGGGAAGATGGATAGATAGATGGGATGGATGGATGGATGAATGGAGGACAGATATAGATTTTGTCAGGGTTCCGACTGATGCCCTAATAAAAGCAGTGTCAGGTTTCGAGGTCGTCTCAAATAAATTGCGTTTCAAACAAAGTCTTTGAAGAAAAACTCCTATTTATTAAGCACGACATTCTAACTCTGACTCCATCGAAGCCAACACTGACTTCCAGACCCAAAACCCTCCCTTTCCTTTCCCCACTCCCCTGCACTCATTGGCCATCTTCCAAGTCACTCTACCCCTAACCTACTGCTCCAGCTCAAAGGAATTTTCCCCCTCCCATCCCATCTCCTAGGGGATATTATCTCCAGGGAAAATAAGTGGGTGAAAAGTCAAACGTCCCTTTCTAGACGCCTCCGCTTCTCCTTCTTATGTCAGCACTAGAGTAAATGAAGCTTGAAGTGCTGACATCCAGGAGCCTCAAGCCAGTGATAGAGATAGAGATAGAGAGATAGATGGAGAGAGAGAGAGAGGGGGGGGGAAGACTCTCCGGCATCCTCTCTTTTTTCCCCTCTCAGCCTGAAATAATTTTGCAGATCATATAATTTTGAAATAAGCCTCAGCTGACCCTCCTGGACCTTCCCTCCTGCGGCAATTACACCCCTGTGGACAAGGAGGATAGAAATATATCCGGCAGTGTATTTTGCCTTCCTTTCACAACTCCTATTTAACACCTTTTATTTTTTTAAAGAAAACACCTTTCCTTTATTTCCATCCTTTCTTGCCTTCCCACCACCCCTGGAGGGGGGGCAGAGGAGTGGCAAATGACCCTCAGGCCTAAGCCAGGGTCTTTGGGCGAGGGGGCTTAGGGCCCGATCCAAGCCATACACACAAACACACAAGCATCTCTTGTGCATCTCTTGGGGGTGGGGGGGGCGGAAAAAACACCCTGCACAGCTGCACCAACTCCATAATCCTAGGACAAAGCGATCGCCTGGATTTCGGAGAGGTTTTTGTTTTGGAAATTTCACAGCCCCACCTCCTTCTCTCTCCCCCCTCACCGCCGCCTGCCTGCGGAAAAGCACCTTTCGGGCTCTGGATGTGAAACGCGGCACGGCCCCGTCACACATTGTGTGCTACATGCTACAAACAACACCCACGCTCTGAAACTGGAGCGCCTCTCTCATCTAATGCAGTGGGATTAACCCCAAATCAGAGCTTAAACCGGACGTGTGGGGGGGGGAAATCACTGGCTAAAATATCCCTCCTCCTCATCATCATCATCGGTTGGAAAATCAAGTTTCTAGTCCTGGTGAGGCAAGCCAGTTGATCTCATCAATTGCTGGCTCTAAAGTCCTCTTTTTGTGACGTGGGTAAGCACATAATCACACTAACTTGGTTAAATCATCCCCTTTGGCCGGGGGGGGGGGGGGGGGGGGGGGGGGGGGGGGTAAAGCATGCCCCCCCCCAGGTTTTGTTGAGAGTATCCCATCAGCCCTTGCGGCTGAAGAGGCCTGGCAAGGCTTCGTGACATCATTAAGCCCCTCCCACTGGCCAGGTAAGAGCAATCCGTATAGCTTGACCAGCACAGCCAATCGGTGCTTAGGGGCTTATCCTGGGCTGCCTGGCCGTGCCAGCGAGTCCTGTCCTGGAGAGGCTGGCTTTGTTTGGCAGCTGTTCTTTCTCTCGGCTCTTTGGCCTGGAGGACCGGGTGGGCAAAATGAATTAGCTGGCAGGGGCATCCCACAATAGAACTTACTTCCTTCCTTCCTTCTTCCTTCCTTCCTTCCTTCCTTCCTTCCTTCCTACTTCCTTTCCTCCTTTCTCTTTTTTTAATCTTCATTCATTTCTCTCCTTCCTTTCATCCTCCTTCCCTTTTTCTTTCCTCCTTCCTTCCTTCCTCTTTTTTCTTTGTTCATTTTCTCTCCTTCCTTTCATCCTCCTTCCCTTTTTCTTTCCTCCTTCCTTCCTTCCACCTTTTATTTCCTTTTCTTCATTCCTTTCTCCTTCTTCTCACTCCATCCATCCATCATCCATCCATCCTTCCTTCCTTCCTTCCTTCCTTCCTTCTTCTTTTATCTTTGTTCATTTCTGTCCTTCCTTTCATCCTCCACCTTTTCTTTCCTTCTTCCTTCCTCATTCCCACATCTTTCCTTCCACTTTTTATTTCCTTTCCTTCCTTTCTCCTTTCTCCTTCCTTCTTCTCACTCCGTGTCCTTCCTTCCTTCCTCTTTTTCTATCTTCTTCATTTCTCTCCTTCCTTTCATTCTTCTTTTGCTTTCCTCCTGCCTCTTTTCTTCCTTCCTTCCTTCCAGTTTTTATTTCCTTTCCTTCTTTTCTCCTTCCTTCTTCTCACTCCCTGTCCTTCCTTCCTTCCTTCCCTTCCTTCCTTCTTCTTTTTTATCTTCATTCATTCCTCTCCTTTCTTTCATCCTCCTTCCCCTTTTCTTTTCTCCTTCCTTCCTCTTTTCTATCTTCTATCATTTCTCTCCTTCCTTTCATTCTTCTTCCCTTTTGCTTTCTTTCCTCCCTCCCTCCTTTTCCTCAGTGACGAATCTCATTTTGTAATGTCTGTCTGTCTGTCTGTCTTCTGTCTATCTATCTATCTATCTATCTATCTATCTATCTATCTATCTATCTATCTATGTATCAAAAAGCGCTTTGCAAATTCAACTGGGGGGACCTCAATGGAAATCCTGCTATTTGGTCTACGAAAAAACCCCCACTTCAGCCCCAGCCTCTTCCGATGAAGATCAGGGAGCCGAAGACTCTTCCTCAACAGTCCCCTCCCATCCACTGGAGCAGCCCCATTCCCCTTCCATAAATCGAGGACCTCCTGTTGAGCCTCCAAGTTCCCTTGCTCCTATCCAGCAGGAAAGAAATTCAGCACATTTGCCGGTGAAGCGCCTCGGCGGTTGCCAATTAAGCAAATAGCCCGAAGCCCCTAAACCAGCTCATTCTACTCTGCTCCTGGCAGGGAGCCTTGTCTGAAGCTGGAATTTCCTCCCTATCCTGCCCTGTTCTAAAGTCTTGGCTACTTTAAGGTATTTGGTAAGTTTAAGATAGGTGGACTTCAACTCCCAGAATTCCCTGGCACTAATGTATTCTCTTTTTTTTTTATATGTAAACCTATTGTGGTAAACCTGCTTACTCTCTTAGAATCCCTTCCTCTGCAATCTCTCTGTTCTAAGGAGTAGGAGGGGGGGAAAAAACAGGCTGAGGAATTCTGGGAGTTGAAGTCCACAAGTCTTAAAGTGGCCAAGGTTGGAGACCCCTGATCTAGACCCAAACATTTCCCAGGAAAATTGGAACTTTCTTCTGAAACGCAGGTCCAGCGGTTACGCACCTGGCGAAGAAGCCCATCGTGCAAATTCCCATCGGGAAAGTCGGTCTTGGATTCTTTCAAGATGTACAATCCACACAGGACCCCAACTTTGGTGGGGTGCTGTGGGCAGATCAAACCCCCCCACCCCCTCTGTACTATACAGGTCCCACAACCCTTTCGTCCAAAATTTCTCAAAAATGGTTTCCATGATGCTGCATCTATCCTGGTCCTTCAGGACAGACGCAAAGCCTTTGAAATGTTTACAGGTTGGGTCAAGGATGCAAACATGAGGAACGAACGTCCCCAGGAAGGAAAAGAGATTCCTCTTTCCAGTCAAACCCCTTTCTTCCCTTCTTCCTGCCCCCTTCCTTTTAAAACTTTCTTTTCTTTTCTTTTCTTTTTTTACAAATTCATGGTTGACTTGGTTAATTCTCCAGGAAAATCCGCCTTAAATTACAAACACAGGCTGAAAGAATATTTCACCTCCTTACTTAACAGGTAGTCCTCGACTTATGTCCACGATGGTGAGTGGAACCTCCATTTTTTCCCTAACTGAGGAGGTCATTAAGTGAGTCACACCTCATTTTACGACCTGTTCCTGTTTGGGTTGTTATTAAGCGAATCTTGTTTCCCTCTCCCCGCTGGATTTCGCTTGGCAGAAGCCCCCTGGAAAGATTGCATAAGGGCGATCACGTGACCTTGGGATGCTACAACTGTCATAAGTACATGCCAGTTGCCAACACCCAAATTGTGACCACATGACCAGAGAGATGCTGCAAACAAGTCTAATAATAAATAAATATGACTTTTTTCGTCACAACCTCAAATGGTTGCTAAACAAATTATTGGTAAGTTAAGGACTACCTATACATGTATACTGCTGTTTAGTGACTGCTTGAAGTTACAACAGCCCTGAAAAAAGTGACTTATGACCATTTTTCATGCTTATGACCGTTTTTCACACTTATGACCATCGCAGCATCCTCATGGTCACATGATTCAAAATTCAGACGCTTGGCAACTGACTCGTATTTATGATCGTTGCAGTGTCCCAAGGTCATGCAATCAATGGGGAACCCGGATTCACTTAACAACCGGTGACTCACTTAACGACAGTGGCCAGAAAAGTCATAAAATGAGGCAAAACTCACTTAACAACCACCAGCAACCAAAATTTTGAGTTCAATTGCAGTCATAAGTCGAGGACTACCTGTACTGTTCCCACACCCAGCTAAAGCACTTCTCTTTTTTTTTTTTTAGCAAAAAATCTGGTAAGCCCCTCTGTCTATTGATCTACTTGGATAAAGGCCATTTTTTTTCCCTTCCCAAAAATTGGGGAGATAGAAAAAAAAAAAGAAAAGCTAAAGGAAGAAGGAAACTGAACCACTGGTGAAAACGGAAAGTTTTTTTTGCAAAACAAGAAGGGGCTTTTTAGTTCGAAGAGAAGACCAAAAAAAGAGGGAAAAAAAATGGGAGTGGAGTTGGCCAAAATTCATACGGTACGTATATATTTCATTTGTTCTGGTTTTTATTTAAAAAAAAAAAGAAGAAGAAGTTAAAAACCAAAAACGAAAAAGGAAAATATTTTTCTGATTTTAAAAAAAGAGCAAGATTGTGAAACATGCAGAAAAAAATACCTTCGTCTGGAGTGGGATTGTTAGCTGACGCTTCCTCACGCTTTTTCGTGAGCGGACCTATGGACAAGAAAAAAGAAGAAAAAGGAAAAATGGGACAGGGGGAAAAAAAGAGAGAGAAAGATCAAGAAAAAAAAAGAAATTGGTTTTTTTTTTTTTTTTTTGGTGCATCAAAAAGGGAAAAAAACATTTTTGTCTTTTAGCAAAATACAAACAATTTTTAAGGGCTGGCTCTTTTTTATTTTTTTGGTTCGTTCGTTCGTTCGTTCGTTTCATTTTCCGGAATTCCGTATCACGTGTGTTTGCTTGTGTGCGAGAGCGATTTATTTTGTTTTGTTTTTATTTTCCCCCACCAGAAAAAATAAAATAAAAATACGACACGGAAACGCACGAAGCTGTGAAATGAAAGGTTGGTTAGAGAGGAAGCAAATCGGGCGATCGCGGATGGTTAAAATTTGGGGAATGCCTCGTTTGGAGACCTCCAAGAGTGGGAAATAAAGGCCCGGATCCCCAGTTCCAATCCTACCCCCTTTTTTTTTTCTCCCTAGCTTTGCATTTCACAAGAGGTGGAACAGGTAGTTGTTCAACTGGGGTGGAAACATCTTAGCCAGATGATTCGTGGGTTGAAAAGGCTGCACCTGCCTGGCGTTGTAGGATTAAGCCAGAGATCTCAAAACTTGTGGCCACTTTAAGACTTGTGGACTTCGACTCCCAGAATTCCCCAGCCAGTTCTTTTTTCCCCACTTCCTTGACTTCAAGATATATTACGTCTACTGCATTCCCTCCGTCTATTAAGCCTTTTCAGAAAACTTGATAAAGGTTAGTCTAGCCACAGTTGTTCTTATCCTCTATCCATGCTGAATTCTGGTAAACCCTGGACGCTGGGGAATTCTGGGAGTCCACAAGTCCACAAGTCTTAAAAGTGGCCACGTTTGGGGACCCCCCCCCCTCAATTAACCAGTCCTGCCAGGAGGACACTGGGAGAACAGACCCAAGGTTTAATGGAAAGGAGGCCACAATTTGGGACTTTTGCTTAGGGAAAAAGCTGGATTATTGGGGTACCAATAATGCACAATTAATATACAATAATGTACAATATTGCAGGCTGGTTGTGCATGCAACACACGTAGATGCAGGTGCAGTGGGGGCCAAACAGGCTGCTCGAATTGCGGAAGGGAGTAAGCCCAGAAGGGCCCCCCAGAAAGATGGACAGGGGTGGTTTATGTAGTCGCCTTCAAAATTGGGAGAAGCTTCTACAAAGTTCTCCATCTCTGTCTCAACCCTCAGCCCCGCTCCCAAAAAACCCATCCAAATCGATGGGAAACTGGGTGGTCTCCAGGACCCCTCAAAATGACCCATACATGCACACCCACAATTTCTCTCTCTCTTTTCTGGGGTCCTCCACACATGTCAAGAGGCAGGATGGTAGCCCTCCAACTCTTCCAACACGGCTCATCCCTGGTTCGAGGACTTCAAGCTGTTACCTTCTCCAGCCAGGGAAGGCAGTGGAGGATGGGTATTGTTACTACCTACTGGGATGGGAAAGGTGGACCGATACAGGAGCCAGCAAGGGGCACATCGGGATGGCCCAGAGGGGACCTCAGGGGAAGGGGGAAGGGTACGAATTTTCCCCCGCCAGCTCTGTTGGCCAAGCGGTGAAGGGTTCAAATTCTCCCCAAGCTCCGTTGGCCAAGTAGGGGGAGAGGCCCCCCTTCCTTTCTCTGCCTTATGTGGGGATGCTGGAGGGTGAAGACAGGAGCTCTCGCTCCCCTTAAAGGAAGAAGCTAGTGAGAAGAGGGGGGAGAAGGAAAAAAGCAGAACCAGGCGCAAGAGAGACCTCCAGGCTTGGGACCAACTCCTGAGCCCCTCACCCACCCCCAAGGACCACCCCCCCCATCATCCTTTCCAATTGCCCTACTGTTCCCTTCCTCCCACCGCAACCCCCTTTCCCCCCAAATCCTGGGAATTGTAGTCTTTCTCGCTTTTCCCTTTCCCGAACTGTAATTCCCAGGGTGCTCCGATTGGGACATAGCTCACAGGTCATGTCCCACCCTACTCTGCTGGCCTCCAACTTCGTCCCTTCCAGATGTGCTGGACCGCAACTCCCATCGTCCCCCACACCGAGGGGGGTTGGGCAACCTGGGGAAGGGGCTATCCTTCCTTGAACCTGCGAAAAAGACCCTCTGGATCCCATTGAAAGGAGTTCAGGTAGGGAAGGGTCCCCAAAAGGTCCATTCGAGGGATCTACTGTGCACACCTGAGCAATAAACCGGATTTATCCTGCAATGCTTTGATTTTATTTAAAGCTATGGAAAAACACAGTGAATCCCAAAACCTGTTTTATATCACATTTTTGCAAATTGCAGCTGGAAGAATCGGGGGGGGGGTATTTCCTTATAATGGGGGGGGACGTTTTGAGGGTAGAGTAAACAAACCCCTCCGCTTATAACTGTTCGAAGTTTCGGCATTGAAAAAAGTGACCTGCGATCGGTCCTCGCGCTTACGACCATATATTTATCTCGTATTTATGACGGTGGCGGTGTCCCGGGGGGAGTCATGTGATCCCCTTGGACGACCTTCCGATGAGCAAAAGTCCACCGGGAAGCTAGGTTTGCTTAACAACCGCCGTGGTCCACGGGGCTCAATGGTGGTCATAAGCTGAGGACTCCCTGGAAACTCTTTGGGGATGGAGGAGTTAGAACGACTGAGTGGAAACTTCCTTTTAGGGCAGGGGTCTCCAATTTTGGCCATTTTAAGACTTCTGGACTTCAACTCCCAGAATTCCTCAGCCAGTACGTGCCTGTTTTCCCCACTCCTACTCCCTAGAACAGAGAGATTGCAGAGGAAGGGATTATAAGAGAGTAAGCAGGTTTACCACAACAGGTTTACATATAAAAAAAGAATGCATTAGTGCTAGGGAATTCTGGGAGTTGAAGTCCACAAGTCTTAAAGTAGCCCCTGTTTTAGGGACCCTGGCTTCATCTGCCAATTATCCCCCCCACCCCAATTAATTACTTTTCCTAGAAATACTTGGAAAACCGCAGCCCCCTCCCCACCACACCTCTCCCTTTCCTGGGGAGGGAAACTAAAGGCCCCTCTTTCCCATGCAGATTTATGTAGATTTATGCTGCCTCTCCTCTTTCCCCAGCCCTCCCCCTGCCTGAATCTGGGGGAGGGGCTGACTTTTAATTAAAGGGGGAGAACATCCAAACTAATTCCCAGTCAGCAGCAAACAAGGTTTCTTTAATGGCATATCATGCCAGGGAGGGGTTTCGGAGGTGGGCATCTGTGTTTTTCCCCTGACTAAGCAGGAATTGTGGGAGGGGGAGAAGGAAAGGGTGGGGGGAAGAAGAACCCTGGAAAAATATTTTATCCTGTCTTCTGCACATCTATCTCCCCTCAGAGGAGGGGAGAAGGGAAGGGGAAGGGGGGAGGAGGAAGGAAAGAAGAGGAGGAGGAAGAGGGGGAGGGGAGGGGAAGAAGGAGGAAGAGGAGGAAGGAAAGAAGGAGGAGGAGGAGGGGAGGGGAGGAAGGAGGGGGAGGAGGAGGAAGAGGGAAGAAGAAGAGGAGGAAGGAGGAGCAGGAAGAGGAGGAAGATGGGGAGGAGGAGGAGGGGAAGGGAGGAAGGAAGGGATGGAAGAGGGGGAAGGAAGAGGGAAGAGGAGGAGGAGGAGGAAGAGGAGGACAGGAGAGGAGGAGGAGGAGGAGGAAGGGAGGAAGGAGGAGGAAGAGGAGGAAGGAAGAAGGATGGGGAGGAGCAGGAGGAGGAGGGGAGGAAGGAAGGGATGGAAGAGGAGGAAGGAGGAAGGAAGAGGAGGACAGGAAGGAGGAAGGAAGGAAAGAAAGAAAGAAGGAAGGAGAGGAGAAAAGGAAGGAGGAGACTGAGGAGGGGGGAGGAGGAGGAAGGGAGAAGGAAGAGAGAAGGAAAAGGAGGACAGGAAGGAAAAGGAGAGGGGGAGGAAGAGGAAGGAAGAGCAGGAAGGAGAAGGAGGGGGAGGCTGAATCTGGAGCCCAAGCCTGCAATCGCCCCCCCCCCCTTTTTCCAAATTAAACCCATTTTTCACCTGGTGTAAACTTGCTCAGCCTTCCTTTGGTTCACGTCAGCAAAATCCGCCTGGCCTGCCCTGCTTTCTCTCTCTCTCTCTCTCTCTCTCCTAAACCCCCCCCGCCCCATGCAGGAGAGGCGTGTTGGGGGGGTGGAGGAAAGAGGGCTCTGCTGCCCCCCTCCCCAATCAGGGGACCCCCCCCCTTCCTCACACCCCTTTGATGGAGGGGGCAGGCAGGCCCCCAGAGGGAGGTTTTCCTGCAACAAGCATCAAGGATGAGAATCTGCAAAGGGCTGTGGGGGGGGGGGGGGGGGGGGGGGGGGGGGGGCAAAGAGAGGGGGGAGGGGGGGGGGAAAGAGATTTGGGGGGGTGTCTGCACCCCCACCCCCATCACCATCATCAGCAAAAAAGGGAGACTCGGCTGTCTTGTTTTGCCGTCTCCCGATTTCGGTTTTGCTCGAGCTGGGGTTTTTTTTTAATGCAATTTTTCCCCTGTTGCCAAGGCAACCTGACTTAGCAGTACCGCAAAAGAAGGGGTGGAAATTGGGGAGGGGGGGACACCCTGCCTGGAGGAAAGGAGGGGAGGAAGGGCTCACGCGGCTGCTTCGAAGGCAGCCCTTACTCGGAGTCCTCCGCTTACCACGGTCCGTTTAGTGACCGTCCGAAGGTAACGATGGATGGGGGGAAAAAAAGCGATTTGAGGACCGAGGTTCACACTTAACAACAGTCGCAGGATCAGGGGATCAAAATTCGGACGCCTGGCAACTCGCATTTACGACGGTCACAGTGGGGGGGTCGGCCGATCCCCTTTTGCGACCGTCTGTAGGGAAGCCAGATTCGCTTAACGGCCTCGTTGCTCATTTAAAAATTGCGGGCGTTCCCTTCACGAGGGTGGCGAGGAAAGGTCGTAAAACAGGGCAAAGCTCAACCCGTGTCTTGCTTAGCAACGTAAGTGTTGGCCTCCGTTGAGGTCGTAACCTGAGGACTAAGTGCATTATTAATAATAATAATAATTTTAAATTTTGTATTGGTTATGTGTTTTAGTTCTGGCTGTGCACCGCCTTGAGTCCACTAGGAGAAGGGCGGTAATCAAATTGAATAAAATAAATAAATAAATACAATGTTTTTACAATAAATATGTTTTTATCTGGCTGTACACCGCCCTGAGTCCCTTGGGAGAAGGTGCGGTATATAAATTTGAAATAAAATAAAAATAAAATAAAAAATAAATAAATAAATAAATAAATAATAATAATAATGTGTCAATGATATTTGAGATCCGTTTTTAAATGTTCAGTTGACTGAGTTTCATGTTTAATGAATAAAAGTATGTAATAATAATAATAATAATAATAATAATAATAATAATAATAGTAATAATAATAATTTATTTATTTATTTTATTATATTTCTATATCGGCCTTCTCCTGCGGGACTCAGGGCGGTGTACAGCCAGGATAAAACATAGCATATAAAATTTAAAAACATTTTAAAAAACAATTAAATAATATTGGCCCGAATTTAAAACAACCCAATTAAAACCGAAATTCGATTAATAGTAATAATTAATAATAGTAGTAGTAGTAGTAGTAGTAGTAATGTAGGGTTTTTCCTACCTAAGCAGGGGGTTGGACTAGAAGACCTCCAAGGTCCCTTCCAACTCTGTTATTCTAATCTATTCAATAATAATAATAATAATAATAATAATAATAATAATAATAATAATAATAATAATAATATATAATATCTCTGCCCACGACTTCCATGCAAACCCCGATATTTTCCCACGCTCTGGCCAGGATTAGATGTCGCCCCGAAGATTTTGGGGGCTGGGGAGGGAAGGAGGGAGACCCCCACCCAACCGAGCCCAAGGGGGGTTTTTGGGGGCGAGGAAGGAAGGCAGATCCTGTCATCCTCCTTCGTGCCATACGTGTGCGTGTGTGCCAGGAGGGGAGGGGGTTTCCTAGCCAGCATTCCTGTCCCTGGGGGGGGGGTGGAGACCCCACTCATCACCCGTCTTGGCAGAGGAAGTTCAGGTGAGTGTGCATTTTTGTACACGTGCGTGCAAAGAGAGTGACGGACTGGCATTTGCGCCGGGCAGGAATTTCACCATGCAGCCTGCAAAGCCCAAGGAAGACTTTACCTGTTGGGCTGCTGCCTGCTGGCTTGCAGGGGTTTTGCAAGCAGAGAACCCGATCCTGTTTTAGGGGAGGGGGCTTGAGTTGCTTATGGCCTAACAGAGTTGGAAGGGACCTTGTAGGTCATCTAGTCCAACCCCCCCCAGCAATCCAGACAGGTTGGCGTGTCGAGATCCGAAACTGGCACCAGAATTTGTGGATGGGAGACATTTGGGGGGCACCGGAGGGTTCAGAAAAAAAGGGGGGCAGGAAATAGGGGAGCAGCTGCCTAATTAAGGGCGGCACCCCAAATGAGAAATAAATGAATACAGGTAGTCCTCGACTTACAGCCGTTTGTTTAGTGACCGTTTGAAGTTACAACGGCACTGAAAAAAACTGATCGATGACCCGGTTTTCACACTTAATGACCGTCGCCGCACCCCCATGGTCGCATGATCAAAATCCAGATGCTTGGCAACTGATTCGTAGTTATGACGGTCGCAGCGTCCCGGGGTCACACGATTCCCTTTTGCGACCTTCTGACCAGCCAAGTCCCTGAGGGAAGCCGGATTCATTTAACGACCGTGGGACTTACTTAATAACGATGTTATTTTCCCAACAAGGGTGGAAGGCTTGATTCGTTTAATGACCGGGGCAAAAACCCCTGCCCCAAAAGGTGTTAAAATGGGACGCAGCTCGTTTAACGACTGCCTGGCTTGGCCACGGAAATCCGGGTTCCAACTGTGGTCATAAGTCGAGGACTGAGGGTGTGGGAGAGTAAAATCAGGAGCTTTACAAAGGGAGAACAAAGGGGGGAGGAAGAGGAGGAAGGAAGAAGTAAGGAGAGTTTATGGATCTCCAACTGGGACATTCAGTTGTCTTTAGGTAGTCCTCGACTTATGACCATTTGCTCAGCGACCGTTTGAAGCCATTCCCTTCCCAACCGGCTCCTCTCACCCCCTCTCTTTTACCACCACCTCGCTTAGTGACGGAAATTATGTCGCAAGTCTTCAAGGTAGTCCTCCACTTATAACCGCAACTGCGGTCACAAATCCCCGTGACCGTAGTACGCCGGGACGGTTGCAAGTCCGAGGACTTCTTTTTTTTCCAGCGCCGTGGTAACTTCCAAGGGTGGCTAAAACAAACGGTCATAAGTCGAGGACTGCCTGTGAGGGATAGTCCTCAACTTGACGACGGCGATGACACCCCAAAGTTTCTGCAGCTAAAGCGAAACATTTTTTTTTAAAGCCCCATTTTTTTGCCCCGTTTTACGACCTGGCCACCGTTGCAAAGTGAATCGCCGCAGTTGGTATTTTAGTAATGTATCCCATGGTCGTTAAGCGAAACTGACTTCCCCCTTGACTTTGCTTATTGGAAGATCGGAAAAGGGGATCGTGTGGTGGACACCCCTCACTCCAGGGACACTGCAACAGGCATAAGGGCATGCCAGTGGCCAACTCTCTGAATTTTGTTCACATGGACTGCACGGTCGTAAGTGTGAAAAACGGTCCTCGGTTACATTTTTCAGTGCCGTGGTAACATCGAACGGTCACTGAACGAACAGTTGTAAGTGGAGGACTGCCTGTAAAATCCAGACAGGTTTTAGGAGCCGGTATGCCATGGACCACAGCTGTGGAACCTTCTCAAGAAGGTTGTGGCCCCTCCTGGACCTCTCGAGATTGAGCTGAAAGAAAAGAGAGGAGGGGTCCCCAATGAACCCAAACTGGCCAAGCTGTGCTTCTGTGGGTTCTTTCATGGAGGGGGTCTCCATCCACAGTTTGCAAGCCCCACCCCGGATACCCACCCCCCAGAGAACAGGACCTCCTGCCATTTGGGGTGGCACTTCCCCTTGGCCCATCTGCAGAGAGAGAGAGAGAGAGAGAGAGAGAGAGAGAGACCCTCATTTTCCAGTTGGAGAAACCCTTCCCCCCCAAGAAAAGGGGGCTTCGTTTGCCTGCTGGAAGAAAGCTGTTGTGCCCCCTCCTCACCCCCAAAGAAAAAAATGAGGTGGGCACCTCTTGGTCGAAGTAGGGATCGGGTTGCAGGTGGGACAATTCAAACGGGGAAAGAATTGAGAAAAAAGAGGGGGGGGCTTTGGTAGGGAAGACCTGCGGGACCGAGAAGGGTCCTAAGAACCCACCACCCGTGCCCACCCACCGCCTGTGCCCACCCTTGCCCGCTGCTTACCATCCTCCATGGGGACGTAGACGTTGAGGTACAGGCAGTCTTCGCTTTGATTCTGGACGTAGCCGGCTACGATCTCCAAATTATCGGTGAACCAAACGGGCAACATGATGGCGGGCAGCATGCCGTGGATATTCTGCGGGCACACCGGGGCGAAAGCTGTGGCATTGCGCACCTCGGACCAGGAAGCCGGCGCCTCGGGCGGCTGGAAACGGCGTTCGCCGACGGGCGGCGTGGCGTAAGGGATGCCCAAGTACTGCACTACAGGGCCGAGGATCTCGTTGTTGAGGCCTTTCTTGATGCCACGTAGCTTGCCGTAGTTGGTGGGCACCACGGGGTATTTGTCTTCGGGCTTCTGCCCCGAGAGGGGTGACGGGCGCAGGGCCAGCCCCAGGAGCCAGAAGAGGAGAGCGGAACCCGGCCGGACGTTCAACATCCGGCGGACGAAGCTCGGAGACGAGAGGAACATGGTGGCCGGAGAAGGTGCCAGGTCCTTCACAAGCGGGGAGAGAAAGAGTCAGAAGTGGCCGACCGGAACAGAAGCAGCACCAGAAGAGGAGGAGGAGGAAGAAGAAGTAGGCCGGAGAGGTTGCAGCCCGAGCCCAGAAGTTGAGGAAACCCAGCCGTCCTAGCAGGAGAACCCCAAAAATGTTCTGGCTGAAATAGGACATCTGTTGCGTTCCATGGTGGGTCTGGAGCACCACAACTGCCAGCGAGGGGGTCTGAGAGAGGCACCTAGAAGTCCAGGGAGGGGGAAGAGAGAGAAGTGAAGTTGTGGGTCAACCAGAAGTAATAAGAGAAAAGGCAGCAGGTAGGAGGAGCTGGTGGACCCAACGGCTTTAGAAGAAGAAGAGATGACCTTCTCAATCTCTGCTGAAGAGGTCCCCTTTCCCCAGGAAACCTGTTGAGACTCCCCCCCACAAGTCTCCCAACCCCAAATCTCATTTCGGGGAAACAGACCAGTGTGAGCAAAAGTGTAGGAGGGCTTAACGGGCAAGGCCAAGTTCTCGTGGTGGACTTCCAAGATGCTGAAGGTCGACCAGCATCTCACAGGGTTCCAGTTCCAAGAAAGAGAAGAGGGAAGGACCATGTCTCCATGAGGAACCCAAGAATACCCCACCATCAGGCCACAGCGTGGAGCAATACCCATCAGGGTGGATTCTTCAACCTTAAGCAAAGCAACCAAGGTCCACCTAAAGGATTCCAGAAGATCCCTCAAGAAAAAGAGGGAGGAGATGAGATCAGGGGTCCCCGATCCAAGGAGAACCCATAACTCATCCTGTGTTGGGGAAGGGCGCCCTCCTCGTCGGTCTTCACCGTATGGGGACATCCCAGGAGATGTGGAGATCTCAAGATGTTCTTTTTCTGCCCTGAGGACACCAAGATGGGACTCTCCTGGATGAGGAGATGTCCCAAGCTCCAGGGTCACCTCTAACCAAAATGGCCCCTGGACTGGAAGGACAAAGGAGGTGTCCAGGTGACTCACAGTTAAGACCAACCCACAGGGCTCCTGTCTTATACAGGGAGTCCTCGATTTATGACCACAATGCCCCCCCAAAAAATTATGTCGCTAACAGTTCTTCAGTAAATTGTGCCTTCTGTTATGACCTTTCTTGCCATGGTAGTTAAGTGAATCCCTGCAGTTGTTAAGTGAGTCACACAGTCGTTAAATGAATCTGGCTTCCCCTGGTTGGAAGGTCGTACAAAGGGGATCATGGGACCCCTGCAACCATCGTAAATACGAGTCAGTTGCCAAGCGTCTGAGTTTTGATCATGCAACTGCGGGGATGCCGCAACGGTCGTAAGTGTGAAAAACGGCCCCAAGTCCCTTGTTTCAGGGCCACTATAGCTTCAAACAGTCACTAAACGAATGGTTGTAAGTCGAGGACGGCCTGTGGTCTCCTGGGGCTCATCGAGCGACATCCCAGCCTGGAGAAAATGGCACAGGCAGTGCTCAATCTAGGACCAGAATTGCCGTTGTTAAGCAAGTCACACTTGGTTTTATGGTCTTCATTGACACCGTTGTTAAACAAATCGTGCAGTACAGGGAGTCCTCACCTTAACGACCACAATGGAGCCTCAGATTTCCGTTGCTAAGCAAGGGGATTTTGTTCAGTACGTTTTGCCCCATATTACAACCTTTTTTTAAAAAAACAAAGCGCTGTCATTGTTAAGTGAATCACATAGTCGTTAAACGAATCTGGCTTCCCTGACTGACCCTGCATGTTGGGAGCCGGCGGGGAAGGTCAGCCTTTGGGGATCACGTGACCCTGGAACGCTGCAACTGTTCTTGAACACACACCAAGCATCTAAATGTTCACACTTACGACGGTCGTACATATGAGGACTGGTCATAAATCACTTTTTCCCCCCAAACCCACCGTAACTTTGAACGGTTGCGAAAGGAACGTCTACGGAGAGGCTCGGTTGCCATAGAATGAGGCTGAACGGACGTAAACGAATGGACGTTAATCGAGGACTACCCCACCGACTGGGACGGCCCAGACCCACGGAGGGGCAGGAGTCCCGGATAGCGTCAGCACCCCGGTTGGGCCGGCCTCCTGCTCCTCCGCGGAGGGCTGTGCCATTCTCTCCCAGCTCCCCGTCTTCACCGTACAAAATTTCCCCCAGTGGATTCTCCCAGGTCTTTAATTAAATAAAATTGGAGTTTTTTTGTTTATCATTCACAATGTGGCAATTAGAAGCAGGAACGTGTAATTACTACCAAATTGTGTCTGGGAGAATCCAAAAGCCCAGAGAGAGGGGCTGGGAAGGGGGGGCCCGGAACCCCACGCCCTCCCCACAATGCCTGGACAGCCAGGGAAAGGGATCTGGGGGGGCGGTGGGGGGCGAAGGAAGCAGCGACCCACCCTTGGGATTTCGTAGATGGGAGAGCCCGGGGAGGTGGGGGAAATGGATGGATTAACGGATGGATGGATGAAGCAAAATTAAGAGGAAATGGGAAGGAGGAAGGGAGAAAGGGGAAGAATGGGAAGACACCGTGGATAGAGGAGATATACACACACGCCATCCATGGTCTTCCAAGACTCACAGATGCGTCATCCATGGCATAAAAAGATTCACGCATGTATCATCCATGATCTTCTGAAGTTCCCACAACAACCATGCATGGTCTTCAAAGAAGCACACAGACTTCACCAAGGTCATTCAAGATTCACTGACACATCACTCATCAAACACATCAACCATGGTCACCCAATGCTCAAACACATCAACCATGGTCACCCAATGCTCAAACACATCAACCATGGTCACCCAATGCTCAAACACATCAACCACAGTCAACCCAACTCTCAAACACATCAACCATGGTCATCCAATGCTCAAACACATCAATCATGGTCACCAAGGCTCAACTACATCAATAACAGTCATCCAGGCTCAACCACATCAACCACGGTCACCCAACTCTCAAACACATCAACCATGGCCATCCAAGACTCACACACATCAACCATGGTCATCCAATGCTCAAACACATCAACCACGGTCATCCAAGTCTCAACACATCAATCACAGTCATCCAAGGCCCAACCACATCAACCATGGTCACCCAAAGCTCAACCACATCAACCACGGTCACCCAAAGCTCAACCACATCAACCATGGTCATCCAAGTCTCAACCACATCAATCACGGTCATCCAAGGCTAAAACACATCAATCACAGTCATCCAAGGGTCAGACACATCAACCATGGTCACCCAAAGCTCAAACACATCAACCATGGTCACCCAAAGCTCAACCACATCAACCACGGTCACCCAAAGCTCAACCACATCAACCACGGTCACCCAAAGCTCAACCACATCAACCATGGTCATCCAAGTCTCAACCACATCAATCACGGTCATCCAAGGCTAAAACACATCAATCACAGTCATCCAAGGGTCAGACACATCAACCATGGTCACCCAAAGCTCAAACACATCAACCATGGTCATCCAATGCTCAAACACATCAACCACGGTCATCCAAGGCTAAAATACATCAATCACACTCATCCAAGGCTCAACCACATCAACCATGGTCACCCAACTCTCAACCACATCAACCACGGTCACCCAAAGCTCAACCACATCAACCACGGTCACCCAAAGCTCAACCACATCAACCATGGTCATCCAAGTCTCAACCACATCAATCACACGGTCACCCAACTCTCAAACACATCAACCACGGTCACCCAAAGCTCAAACACATCAACCACGGTCACCCAAAGCTCAAACACATCAACCATGGTCACCCAATGCTCAAACACATCAACCATGGCCACCCAATGCTCAAACACATCAACCATGGCAACCCAAAGCTGAAACACATCAACCATGGCCACCCAAGACTCACACACATCAACCATGGTCATATAAGGCTCATCAACCACGGTCACCCAACTCTCAAACACATCAAACACAGTCACCCAAGGCTCAAACACATCGAACCATGGTCACCCAAAGCTCAAACACATCAACCATGGCCACCCAAAGCTCAAACACATCAACCATGGTCATCCAATGCTCAAACACATCAACCATGGTCATCCAATGCTCAAACACATCAACCACGGTCACCAAGGCTAAAACACATCAATCACAGTCATCCAAGGGTCAGACACATCAACCATGGTCACCCAATGCTCAAACACATCAACCATGGTCATCCAATGCTCAAACACATCAACCACGGTCATCCAAGCTAAAATACATCAATCACACTCATCCAAGGCTCAACCACATCAACCATGGTCACCCAATGCTCAAACACATCAACCACAGTCACCCAACTCTCAAACACATCAACCATGGTCATCCAAAGCTCAAACACATCAACCATGGCCACCCAAAGCTCAACACATATCAACCATGGCCACCCAAAGCTCAAACACATCAACCATAGCCACCCAAAGCTCAAACACATCAACCATGGCCACCCAAGACTCACACACATCAACCATGGTCATCCAATGCTCAAACACATCAACCACGGTCATCCAAGGCTAAAACACATAAATCACAGTCATCCAAGGCTCAACCACATCAACCATGGCCACCCAAAGCTCAGACACATCAACCATGGCCACCCAAGACTCACACACATCAACGATGGTCATCCAATGCTCAAACACATCAACCACGATCATCCAATGCTCAAACACATCAATCACAGTCATCCAAGCTCAACCACATCAACCATGGTCACCCAATGCTCAAACACAGCAACCACGGTCACCCAACTCTCAAACACATCAACTACGGTCATCCAAAGCTCAACACATCAACCATGGCCACCCAAAGCTCAAACACATCAACCATGGCCACCCAAAGCTCAAACACATCAACCATGGCCACCCAAGACTCACACACTTCAACCATGGTCATCCAAAGCTCAAACACATCAACCACGGTCATCCAAAGGCTAAAACACATCAATCACAGTCATCCAAGCTCAACCACATCAACCATGGTCACCCAATGCTCAAACACAGCAACCACGGTCACCCAACTCTCAAACGCATCAACTACGGTCATCCAAAGCTCAAACACATCAACCATGGCCACCCAAAGCTCAAACACATCAACCATGGCCACCCAAAGCTCAAACACATCAACCATGGCCACCCAAGACTCACACACTCAACCATGGTCATCCAATGCTCAAACACATCAACCACAGTCATCCAAGGCTAAAACACATCAATCACAGTCATCCAAGGCT